GCCACAAATAAAGGGTAAAAACCAGAGTGGTGAGAAGAACTGCTTTGTGGACCTTGCCAGCTTTAGCAACCAGACTTTTTCTTTATTTTAAAAAATTGAGCAGAAAGTACAGAGAGTTCCCAATACACCCCTCCTCCTCCACAGTTTCCCTTATTATTAACATCTTGCAGTGGTGTGGTACATTTGTTATAACCAATGAACCAATATTGGTGCCTTATTAAGTAAAGTCTGCATTTCACATTAGGGTTCATTCTTTGTGTTGTGCATTATTTAAAAAAATTTTTTTTTGTAGAGATGAGGTCTCCCTATGTTGCCCAGGCTGGTCTCGAACTCCTGGGTCAAGTAATCCTCCCACCTTGGCCTCCCAAAGCATTGGGATTACAAGCATGAGCCACCATGCCTGGCTGTGTTTTACATTCTGTGGTTTTGGACAAATGTATAATGTTATGTATCCACCATTATAGCATCATATACAACAGTTTCATTGCCCTAAAAGTCCTCTGCATTCTGCCTATTCATCCGTCTCTTCCTCCCTCCAAATTCCTGGCAACCACAGATCTTTTTACTGTCTTCATTGTTTTGCCTTTTCCAAAATGTCCCATAGTTGGAATCATACAATAATATGACACTTATGTCACTTTAGTGTCTTTTATTTACCAACATGCATTGCATGTGAGGTTGCTCCACATCTTTTCATGGCTAGATAACTCACTTCTTTTTATCACTGAAAGATATTCCATTGCCTGGATTTATTTATATATTCACCAATTGAAGGAGCATCTTGATTGATTTCAGTTTTTGGCTACTAGGAAAAAGCTGCTATCAACATTCCTATGCAGGTTCTTGTGAGGGCATAAATTATCAACTCAATTGAGTAAACAGCAAGGTGTGTGATTGCCGGACCACATGGTAAGACTCTGTTTAGCTTTGTAACAAGTGGCCACACCATTCTCCAAGCTAGCTGTACCATTTTGCATTCCCTGCAATGAATGAGAGTTCCTGTTGTTCCACAATTCCATTAGCATTTGGTGTTGTGGGTGTTTTGGGTTTTCATCATTGTGTTCGGCGTGTAATCTCATTGTTTTAATTTGAAGTTCCTTAATGACATATGATGTTGAGCATCATTTCATATAATTGTTGCCATCTGTATATCTTCTTTCGTAAGTGTCTGTTTGGATCTTTTGCCCACTTAAAAACTGGGTTTTTTGTTTTCTTGCTGAATTTTAAGAGTTCTTTCTATGTATTGAATACAAGACCTTTAACAGATCTGTGCTTTGCAAATATTTTTTCCCAGTCTGTGGCTTGTCTTTTCATTATCTTAACAATGTGTATCACTGAGCAGATGTTTTTAATTTTAATAAAGTCTAACATCAGTTATTTTTGTCATGGATTGTGCTTTTGGGGTTGTATCTAAAAAGTCATCACCAAATCCAAGATCATTTAGATTTCCTTCTAAATTATCATCTAGAAGTTTTATAGTTTTGTGTTTTACATTTAAGTCTATGATTCATCTTGAGTTATTTTTTGGGTAAGGTGTAATGTTATTTTTTTGACTGTGGGTGTTAATTATTCCCATATCATTTGTTGAAAAACCTATCCTGTCTCCAGTAAATTGTGTTCGTGTCTTTGTTAAGATCGGTTGAATATATTTATGTAGGTCCACTCCTATGCTTTCTGTTCTGTTCCATTAACCTATGTGTCTCTTCTTTCATGTATACCATTTTGTCTTTATTACTGTAGTTTTATAGCAAGACTGGAAATTAGGTAATGTCAGTCCTCTAGCCTTGTTCTGTTTCAGCTAACGCAACTGTGTTGGCTTTTATGAGTCTTTTACCTTTCCACACAAACTTTAGAATTACTTTGTTGATATCCACAAAGCAACTTGCTGGGATTTTGATTGGGATAGTTTTGAATCTATAGATTAAGTTAGGAAGAATTGACATCTTAACAATATTTAGTCTTCATATTCATGAACTTGGATATCTCTCCATTTATTTAGATATTTGATTTCTTTCATCAAAGTTTTATAGTTTTCCTCATATAGATTCTGTACACATTTTCTTAGATTTATACCTAAACATTTCATTTAGGTATAAACATTTCATTTATTTGTGCTAATGTAAATGGTGTTCTATTTTTAATTTGAAATCCCATTTACTCGTTGGTGCCATATAAGGCAGCAATTAACTTTGCTTATTACTCCTGTATCCTGCCACCTTGCTGTGATGGTGTATTAGCTCCAGGAGTTTTCCCTGATGCTTTGAAATGTTCTACGTAGACAATCATTTCATCTGCAACCAAAGACAGTTTTATTTCTTCCCTCCCAATTTATATGCCTTTTCTTTTCTCATTGCATTGACTAGGACTTCCAGTATGATATTGAATAGGAGTGGTGACAGGGGACATTCTTACCTTTTACCCAAAATTAACGGGACAGCATCTAGTTTCTCATCACTAAGTATGAAGTTAGCTGTAGGCTTTTAAAAAATTTATTTTTAGTTTTTGTGGGTACATAGTAGGTGTATATATTTATGGGTGACATGGTTTGACTCTGTGTCCCCATCCAAATCTCATGTTGAATTGTAATCTCCAGTGTTGAGTAAGGGACCTGGTGGGAGGCGATTGGATCATGGGGAAGATTTTCCCCTTGCTCTTCTTATGATAGTGAGTGACTTCTCATGATACCTGATTGTTTGAAGTGTGTAGCACTTCCCCTTCACTCTCTCTCTTTCTCCTGCAACCCTGTGAAGACATGCTTGCTTCCCATTCACTCTTCCATCATGATTGTAAGTTTTCTGAGGCCTCTCCAGTCATGCCTTCTACATAGCCTATGGAACTGTAAGTTAATTAAACCTCTTTGTAAAATAAATTACCCAGTTTCAGGGAGTTCTTTAAAGCAGTGTGATAACAGACTAATACAGAAAATTGGTACCAAAGATGTGGGGCATTGCTATAAAGATACCTGAAAACATGGGAGCAATTTTCACTTAACAAAATGACCTCTACTTCCTATGTCAATTTTTTCTGTAGTGCAGGTTAAGTCTGATGTTTCTTTGCTGATTTTCTGTCTGGAAGATCTATCCAATGTTGAAAGTAAGGGAACTGTTATTGTGTTGGGGCCTATCTCTTTCTTTAGCTCTAATAATATTTTCTTTATGTATTCTAATGTTAAGTGTATATGTATTTATAATTTTTATATCTTCTTGCTGATCTGACCCCTTTATTATTATATAGTGAGCTTCTTTGTCTTTTCTGATAGTTTGTGTCTTGAAATCTATTTTGTCTGATATAAGCATAGCCACTCCTGCTCTTTTTTGGTTTCCCCGGCATGGAATATCTTTGTCCATTTCTTTATTTTCAGTCTATGTGTGTCTTTATAGATTAAATGTGTTTATTGTAGGTCTTGTTTTTTAATCCATTGAGCCACTCTATATCTTTTTATTAGACAGTTTTGTCCATTTGCATTCCATGTTATTATTGATAAGTAAGAACTTAGTCCTGCCATTTTGTTGTTTTTTGGTTGTTTTGTGGAGTTGTGGGTTTTTTGTAGATGTTCTTTATCAAGTTGAGAAAGTCTTCCTCTATTCCTAGTTTTCTGAGAGGATTTTTTTCTTTATCTGGAATGGGTGTCACATTTTGTCATTTTTTCTGCATTTGAAGATATGACAATATGATTTCTTCTTTTCTATGTGATAGATTACATTGATTGATTTTTTTTTTTTTGAGACAGAGTCTCGCTCTGTTACCCAGACTAGAGTACAGTGGTATGATCCTGGCTCACTGCAACCTCCGCCTTCTGGATTCAAGCAATTTTCCTGCTTCAGCCTTCCTGAGTAGCTGGGATTACAAGTACCTGCCACCATGCTCAGCTAATTTTTGTATCTTTTTAGTAGAGATGGGGTTTTACCATGTTGGCCAGGCTGGTCTTGAACTCCTGACCTCAAGTGATCCACCTGCCTTGGCCTCCCAAAGTGTTGGGATTACAGGCATGAGCCACTGTGCCTGGCCACATTAATTGATTTTTAAATGTAGAACCAGGCTTGCATACCTGGGATTAAATCTGTTACCCAGGCTGGAGTACAGTGGCACAGTCATAGCTCTAGTCATAGCTAGGAGTCATGAACTCCTAGGCTCAAAGGATCTTCCTGCCTTAGCCTCCCTAGTAGTGGGACTAAAGGCATACAGCACCATGGCTGGCTATTTAATTTATTTTTACTTTTATTGTTAGAGACAGGGGTCTTTATATGTTGCCCAGCTGGTCTCTAATTCCTGGCCTTACGCAATCCTCCTAGTTTAACCTCCTGAGTTGTTGGAATTACAAACATGAGCCATTGTCCCTGGCATAATTCTTTTTATACACTTTTGGGTTAATTTGCTAATATTTTGATGATAATTTTTGCATCTGTGTTCATGAGAGATACTGGTTTGTATTTTTCCTTTCTTATAATGTCCTTATCTAGTTTTGGTAGTACAGTAATGTTGGCCTCATAGAATGAATTAGGAAGAATTCCCTTTGTTTTTATATTTTGGAAGAGACTTTAGAGAATTTGTATTATTTTGTCCTTAAATGGTTTGGTGGAAGCAACCAGTGAAATAACCTGGGCTTAGTGCTTTATTTTTTTTTTTTTGAGGGCTATTAGTTATTGATTTAATTTCCTCAGTAGATACAGACCTACTTAGAATATCTATTTCTCTTTTTGTGAGTTTTGGTAATTTGTGTCTTTCAGAAAAATTATCCATTTCATCCAACTTATCAAATGTATGCATATAATTGTTTATAATATTTCTTTATTATCTTTTTAATGTTCATGGGATCAGCAGTGATTACCTTTCTTTTATTTATCATATGAGCAATTTGTAGCTCTTTCTTTTTCACTTAGCCAGAATAGAGGTTTACTGATTTTATTGATCTTTTCAGAGAGTCAGCTTTTGGTTTCATTTATTTTTTCTAATGATTTATTACTTTCCATTTTATTGAATTATTCTCTAATTTTAAAATTTATTTTCTTATATCTACTTTTGATTTAATTTGCCCTTCTTTTTTTCTAATTTCCTAAGTTGGAAGATTGGATGATTGATTTAAGATATTCCTTCTTTTCTTTTTTTTTTTTGGAGACAGAGTCTTACTCTGTCGCCCAGGCTAGAGTGCAATGGTACCATTTCGGCTCACTGCAACCTCTACCTCCTAGGTTCAAGCGATTCTCCTGCCTCAGCCTCCCAAGTAGCTGGGACTACGGGCGTGCACCACTATGCCCGGCTGATTTTTATATTTTTAGTAAAGACAGGGTTTCACCATGTTGGCCAGACTGGTCTCCAACTCCTGACCTCAGGTGATCTACCCGTCTCAGCCTCCTAAAGTGCTGCGATTACAAGCTTGAGCCACTGCGCCCGGCCCTTCCTTTTTTTTTAGCAAATGAATTTAATGTTACATATTTTCCTCTAAGTGCTGTTTTCACTGCATTCCACACATTTGGTAAGTTGTATTTTCATTTTCATTAAGTTAAAAATACTTTTTAATTTTTCTTGACACTTTTTAAATTCTTTTGTAAAATAGAAGTACATTGCTTAATCTCCATATATTTGGGGATTTTTTTTCAGCTTCTGGTAGATTTTTGTTTTTGACTTCTAGTTTAATTCCACTGTGCTCTGAGAACATATTTTGTATAATTTCTATTCTTTTAAATTTGTTAAGATATGCGTTATGGCCTCGAATATGGCATATGTGTTGAATGTTCCACGTGATCTTGAGAAAAATATGTATTCTGCTGTTGTTGGTTGAAGTACTCTATAGATGTCAGTTAGATCCAGTGATAAATGTTGCTGTTCCTTACTATATCCTGACTGATTTTATGCCCACTAGATCTACCAATTACTGATAGAGGAGTGTTGAAGTCTCCAACCATTAATGTAGTAAATAATTTTATATAGCTTATATTTTCCTTGCTGTTCTATCAGTTTTTACTTCCTGTGTTTTGATCCTCTGTTGTTAGGTGCATGCATCTTAAGTATTATGTAAACCAAAAATAAAATTTGAAGGCCCCCCACCTTCCTGCAACCATCTGAATAGGCTCCCTCCTTGGCCAGGGCACTCTAAAATTTACCTCCTACTTGAAATGAAAGACAGGAGCCCTCAGGACCAAAACCTATGATGTACTCTCAGCAGTATGGGAAGTATGTACTCAAAGTTCCTCTAAGTGTGTGATAGGATGAAGAGCATAAACCACTGCAGAATACTTTCCCCTTTGGCAGACAAAAGACTTGACTATAATTGTAGTTTAGGAAAAAAATGTCTCAGCATTTGGCATTTCCTGTCTCTCCAGGGAGCTGAACTTAGGATAGTGGCCTTTGTTGTGTCCAGGAAGGGCTGATTTAATGCATGTGGTGGCCAGTGTCTGCGATGGATGGGTCTTCTTCATTGTTGAACCCTCTCACTTCTGATTCCTCCTTCTCTTCTTCCTCCACTCTTTCATGAGCATTTCTCCGACTGATCTCAGGATGTCTGGTTATTAGTGTGTTTGGGGGAGTGAGCTAGAAGAAGAGTCAGTAATCAGACAAGCATGCTGCAACCCTCCACTCAGGGTGATGGACTGGAGATACTGGGTCCACACAGATGGCTGCTGCAGCCAACATGCCAGAGTCTCCAACGTGCCCCAGCCACACTGCCACTTCTGCTGGCCTTCATCAGTGAAAACCCAGCACAAACAAAGCAGTTCCAGGGTGGCAGCTCAGTGACATTCATTTCCACGCTTTCGTTGAAACCAGTGGACGAAACAGGTTTGTAAATCCCTCAGCCTCTTCCTCTTGTATTTTTAAAAATATTCAGCCTCTTCCTGCAGGAGGACAGTCCCAGGGCTGGGCTGTGAGAGTCTGTTGTTGGGGCGCCGTTATTTCCTCTTGAGCACTGAGGTTACAGTGGATGACATGCTCCCAGCCAGTCTTCCTTGGATCAGACCTTGAGTGTGGGCACAGGACTGGGGAGAGGACTCCAGATCTAATGTGGAGCGAATGCGGAAGAGCTGAGTTTCTCCCAGGAGACCCTGTCAGTCAACAGGCATATGGTTGAGACTCCTCCATCTTATGGCCTGTTCCCCTGCTGCAGACCTTCACCAAGCACTGGCTCTGCACCAGGAGTGTGCGGGGCCCTGGCATGCAGCAGCCCCAGGCCAGACCCAGCCCTGTTCTGGAGCTTATGGGCAGTCTAGGTTTGGGTTTTCCATGGCAGACTCTGAGACAGGGATTTGAATGAAGTAAGTAATGTGGGAGGAACCCAGGGAGTTCTAGTAGGGGAGGGGGCAGGGACACAGAGAAGCTGTGACAACAAGTGGCATTTCCCAAGGCTCAATCACACCAGGACCTCGGGTGACTATGCAAGGTGATTTCTCCTTGGGATTTTCCTACAACAGGATAATTGCACCCCTTGGCCAGGTATCACCCATCAACCCGTGTCATCTGTCAAGAGTGGCTGCTGGAGGCATCACCCTCTGATTCCAGGACTTCAGCCCTAACTGGTACACTCCTGGGTTTGGGGCATCCTCTGGTTGAGTGGCAGGCGCTGCAGGCAGGAGCCGTGGTGTGTGTGTGAACTGTATACAGAGGCAGCAGGTGACCCAGCACTGTCAGCTGCAGCATCTGGCAAGGCGGACAGGTAAAGCAGTAAACCAGCAGGTGAGTGAATGGTTGCAATTGTAGCGGGTGCCTTGGAGGGAGCTGACTGGGAGTTGAGCACAGAAGGAGGTACAAAGACCTCCAAATAGGGTCATAGCTCGTGCCTGCCTCCTTGTAGTAGGTGGGCACCCAGCAAGCAGAGGCTGGAACCCTCAGTCACGTGGCCCTGGGAGAGCTGTTCTGACCTTTGCCTAGAGCCTCGGTGCTAGCTGTGAGCTAGGATGGTGATTGCGTTCACTTCTGATATGAGCTCGTTAAAAGCGCATCATCAGTGGCCGGGTAGGTTTCTCCATTGCCAAGAGATGACCTAGTGCTTGTTTAACGCCGGAAATGAAGCTCAGCGGCAGCTCTCGGGCTGTCCTTCAGTGGCCCCTCGCATGCCCAGGTGTGGTCTTCTGGTTGGCGTGGCTTGTGTCACCTCCCTCGTACCCTCTTGAGGTCCACACAGTGCACCTGCTTTTGTCTGCCACGGGGGAGAGGAGGAGAGGCAGATCCTTCTGTGCCCTCTGCTCTTGACCTTTTCTGCTGTGGGGTTGGAGGGTGGTCTTAGCTCAGGGGCTGGTTGCTGTGTCCTCTCCTGAGCTTAACTTGCCCCTGGGTTCCTTTTTCTTACAGATGGAACTTAACAAGAAGAAGCTAAGGAAGAGAAGAGGAGAGAGAGGAGAGGAGAGAGACAGTGAAGAGGCTGGAAAAGGAGAAAGAGAAATATGTTTTTTGGAATCAAAGTGTTACTTGGATTCTTACCCAGGATTTTCCTATTGTCTCAGGACCTAAAGGGAAAAGACCAGCCATGGTGTCATGGTCACATACATGGTGTATGTGAGCCTCTGGGAAATCTGCCTCAAGCCCATAGCGCCATGCATCTACAGCAGTTGGAACAGCTTAAGAGTCAGACCTCTCTAGATCCCAAGCGCTGCAACATGAATAACAAAACCAAGGTTAAGCCACAGACCACGCCCCGTGGAGATTTCGCTGCTTCCAGCCTGACCATCAGGATTCGGGTCCTGACCGCTCCCCTGGCTGTTGGGCTGGTCCCAGCTCTGGGCCTTGGTTTTCTCACCCACAGAATGGGGACAATACAGGACCTCCCTCATCAGAGCTGTCACAAGTGCTAAGTGAACGGGTTCTTGTGAAGCCCTGCAGTGCCTGGCACAGACCAAGGGCCCCACCGATAGTGACTGTGAGTTTTCCCACGAATGTATTTTTTGATATGTAACATTTTAAAATAAAATTTTCTCTTTTCTTTTTTTCCTTCTCCTTTTGGAACCTCAATTTCCTGATTCCCTAAGCTCATGTCTGGTGCTGACTATTATCCTAGTGCTGAACTCAAGCTTTCCTCATAGCTCCTTAGAGCATTTGAGAATAACTGTGTGTTTCTGCACCCAGAACATATTTGTGAAATCAGTCAGGATACATGGTTCATGAAGCATTAATAGAAGATGTGGTTCTCAAACTTGAGTGGGGCTCAGGGTCCCCTGGGGGACTTGTGAACACACAGATCTTGGATCTCCCCAAGGTCTCTGATGTCAGAGGTCTGGGTGGGGTCCTAGAGTTTGTTTTTCTGGCCAGTGCCCAGATGGCCAGAACCACTTTTGGGAACCACACTTTGAGAACCACTGGCACATAGTAAGGAGGCCTCTTCCAGAGGCCACCGGCGAAGCCACTGTCCTGAAAGGTAAAGAACATTTGTCCAGGGGATGTGTTAACGAAAAGAGCTTAAGAATCATACAATAAGACCAAAGGACCATGAAGTGCTTCAAGAGTGCAGCAGTGATTTTGTTCCAGCTGGGGCAGGAAAACCTGGGGAGGCCCTGCGGTGAGGAACCATTTGGACTGGGCGTTGATGGATGGCTGAGCACTGCTTGGTGCTGGCCCTGCAAGTGCGATGTGGTGGGTCCTGTGTTCCACCTTGAATCTGTGTTTCATCCTTGAATATGGTGGCTTGTGGCTGCTTAGACCAGTCATCAAGGCCAGTGCACGCTAATACCCTGGGTACAATGCCCAGGACCTATGCTTCTAATGCCCTTGAATATATTTTAAAATCAGAAGGAAAAATGAATACGATAATAAAGAATATACAACAATGAATCTAGACTGGATTATATTCACCTTTATACCAACATAGGCACAAAATATACCTTTAAATATTTTTATAGAAGAAGGAGCCCATGAAAGCAAAAGTGCCATTTCCCCAAAAGTCACACTATGGCCTCGCTGATTGAACGTGATGGAAGTAATGCTCTGACTTCTGTGAAAGGGCCAGGAAAGGCCGTGCAGCATCTGCCTGGTTCTTATGGGATGCTCCCAACTCCCCCCGAGAGCCCACGAGGCCTATCAGCCTGGGCCATGTGAGCGAACTGCCTTGAGCACCCAGCCCAGCCCCGTTGAGCCCTCAGATGACTGCAGTCTCAGTCAGCAACCACGGGAGGGCTCTAAGTGATAACGGCCTGCTGAGCTCTCCCCAGATTTTTCAGCCACAAAACTGTGACCAAAATGAAATCATTTATTTTAAGTAGCTAAGTTTTGGGATAATGTGTTAACCTTAAAATAGTAACCAGAACATCCAGCCAAGAAAGGGAACTCGGGGGTTGATGCTCTCATGGGGCTGATGAGAGGATGGACAACCCTGATCCCAGCACCCTGGGTTAGTTTTATAGGATATACCGGATTGCTGACTCTCGAGAGCCCACTTGTTCACTGACGTGCTGGGCATGTGATACCATCGCTTCTTCAGTCACTAGCAGGAAGGAGTTAGGAGTCAGCATTGCCCACGTGGCAAGGGGAAGCCACTGAGGAATTTGCAGTAGGGAGCAATAGGCTGTGCTTAAGTAAGGATCACTGTGGCTGTGGAATAAAGATGGCAGTGGTGGGGTACAGGAAGGGGCATGAAGGAGGTAGGTGGAGATTCCAGAGGGCAGAGCCCTGGCCATACATCCTAGACAGGGTTATTGGATGCAAATCACAGAAATGTCATCCAGCCAATTTACACAGAAAATAGCCTCACTGAATGGCATTATTTCTCCCCTGTACACTTCCCTACCCAGACTGATGGGCAGCTGCAGAGGATGGACAGGGATGTGCAGCCCAGGAACCTGGGAACAAGACCAAATCACCACAGGGCACAGCAGTGAGCATGCCATAGCATGCAGGGTAGCCACGGGACACCCACCATCGCTGCTGCAGAAAACCCTCCCACTCCCTGTGTCCCTGGGTCAAGGTCACAGAACTGCCAAGGAGTGGGACAAGGAGGACTTTACCTGCTGTTTTGTGTTTGTGTTTTTGTTTTTTAGAAGCCACCTCTTTAGGGTACTCTGAAACTCATTTGTATACTGAATAGCCCTAGATTAAAAAATAAATTCCACTCCAGCAAGTGAGCAATTGGTCTGAACCATCCTGTGGCAATGGGTAGTGTCATGGTCTGTTCTGTGCTACGATAACAGAATACCGCAGACTGCGTAATTCATAAACAAACCACTTTTATTTGGCTCATGGTTTGGAGACTGGAAAGAAGTTCAAGGTCAAAGGACCACATCAGGGGAGGGCCTTCTTGCTGCCACATCACATGGTGGAAGGTGTCACATGGTGAGAGAGGAAGAGAGAGCAGAAGAGGGGACAGGAAGGGGCCAAACTCATGTGCCCACTCCCGTGGTCACTAACCCACACTCACGATAACTAACCCATTCCCACAATAACTAACCCACTCCCACAACAATGGTATCTATCCACTCCTCAGGGCAGAGCCCTCCTGACCTAATCACCCGCTAAAGCCTCCACCTCTCAACACTGCTGCATTGGAGATTAAGGTGCAACAAATGAACTTCAGGGCACACAGTCAAATCAGAGCAGGCAAAGGAGAGAAGACGCCACTTTGAGAGGATCTGAAGAGGGATGCAGGGTGGCAAGTCACCCAGAGTCAGAGTTAGGCTGTGAGCTCTCACTGCTTATATTCACATCCTATCTTTGCCACTGGATAGTGAGTGACCTCGGGCAATTTATGCAATTATTCGATCACTTGAAATTTTCACTTCCTCATCTGAAGGATGTGGACAATAATATTATCTACCCATAGAGCTGTGGTCAGGATGAAATGTGGCCATTGTGACAAGGTATTTATAATAATAGCTGCCCCCAGTAAGAAGCCAAGAGAGGTCGGCCATTGCCATCACTTTCAGTCCTGGGAGGAGAGCCCGTGGAGAGAGTGAGGGGCTGAGGATGACACTCGATTCTGTGTGGGCCCCGGGGTGGGGGAAGAGGAGACCTGGGGAGGTGTAGGCTGCAGGGGAGGCTGCTGTGTTCAGCTCTGAGTGTGCTGCATTTCAGCGCCCCGGGAGACTGGGTCAGACATGCAGGAGTACATTGAGACAGCAGCCTGGGCTTTGGGAGTGGGGTCCAGATTGGAGAAGATTCCGGAGGTCTGGGCAGGGAGATGGTGATTGCCCTGTGGAGTTCCACCTGAGGTGAAAGAAGGGCTCTGTAGACTTTGAGCTGAGCATTCCAGGAACACCCAGGTAAAAGCAAGATGGAGACAGGAAGTGTCTGAGCTCAAGTTCCTAGAAGCAGAGCCAGGGACGGGGTCTGGGTGCCTGAGAACTATTGAGACAAGGTCTCAGGAATGAGGGGCCAAGATGGGGTGGGAACAAGCTGAGCAAGGAGCTGACTTGGTCTGATCCATGAAGGGAGAGGGGCTTGGAGCAGAAATGCCTCTGCAGAGCTGTCCTTTGAAACAAGAGGAGAGACCTCGTATCATCCTTCTGTTGATGACACAGTGTGTGTTTGTCAGGGGGTGGGGGGCTCTGGATTAAGGGGCCTTTGTCAGCCGAGGGCAATTCTTCCTATTCGAGGGTCCCACACTCACAGCAGCTGAAAGAAGGTGCGACAGTTCTGGAAAGGGAGTCTCGGTAGGCACAACAGCATTTACATAGGAGGCAATAAGGAATGCAATCAACTAAAGCTCCTCCTGCTCGGATCTCTGGGAGGCGGAGTAGAAGGCGCCTCTAAGAGTCACTCTGTGCAGGAGGATGTGTGTCGGGGGGTGGGGGGTGGTGCTTACACCGCAATTCCCGTCAGTGTTTGGTCCCGTATAGCTCCACGTGTTAATTATTGGCACCTTTGTCTACTGGGCAGAGTGAGCTCTGAAGGTCGGGAAAAGTCCCCAGGTAAAGATGTGGCGGGCACTGGAGGCTGGGCAGGCGTGCAGGTGGAGGGGTCAGGCTGGAGGTGGGCAGGGCCAAACAGCGTCTGCTACAACTTTTAACTGAAGACACAAAAGCATCCGAGACGGAGCAGCCAGAGGTGGGAGGAAAATCAGAAGAACGGAGCTGCGGGGCGTCATTTTCACAGACGCACAGGGCGATCCGTTTCACCTTCTCCGGCATCCCACCCCATTGTGTCTGAGCACTTTATCCCGCCAGCCTGGCCAGCCGCGGCTCTGAGAAGCCCAAAAGGGGTGTCTGCTGAGCCACCCACAGCCGGTCCAACCTCAGCCTGGCGCTGCCAAGGCACATTCGCGGTCGGCGACAGAGGGGCTGGAGATCTTCCCTAGAAAATAATGAGCGGAGAAATCTTTATTGATTAGTTAAATCCCGGGTAATCCTGGCTGATGAAGACAGATTCGGAACCCTCAACGGATTTAGGGACCCAAAACGACTCCTGGGGGCGGCCTGGGGCGGGAACGCTCGCTGGGGCTGCGCCTATGGCCGTAGATTTGCAGGTGGTATCCAGGAGGGGGAAGCTGGAGGGAGCCATTTTTCTGGCCGCCAGGGCGCGGAGGCGTCCCCTAAACACGGCACGTAGAGTTGGCACGTAGATTTGGCAACTGCGAGGGCACCCCGGGGACACGAGGATTGTGGGTGGATTGTGGGCTAGCTATTTGTCTCTTGCAGACGTCTCCTAAACGGCAAGAAGTGCTTCTCTGGTCTTGGCTGACGCTGAGCGAAGTATAACTTGACGCTGGGCTCTGAGAGGATCCCCACTACGCAGGGCGCGCAAGTGGATCCCAGAGCCTCGGCAGCAGCGGGGACACAGATTAGCGCAGCCTCGGGTGGGGGTCATTTCTCACTGTAGGAGGCAATGAAAGTGTCCTCCCGCGCTGCGCTCCTGCCATCCCCACGCTGTGAAACACAAGGTGACCCAGGACCCAACTCCCCACCGCTGGGGTCCTGCAGGCCTCTCCCTGACATTGAGGTCCCGGGATGAGTTAGGAACACCTCAGTTCAGGAATTGCAAGACCCCTTAGAAGTTCGTTCCTTCTCCATCTCTGAGTCCCCTTAGAGCCTCAACACGGGCTCCTTGATCGAGTCTCTTGCTCTGTGTCGCCCTCCCCACGTCTCTGTCTGTGTCCGATGTGACTGGGTTAATAAGTCCCAGTTGCTCTCACCTGTAAAATGAGTTTACGACGATTCTTCCCGAGGATTTGGAAACTGGGGTGTTCTTGGCACTGCGCCACGGTCACCATAGAGAGTGTCCAAGGCTGGGCTCCCACTGCCTGGCCTGTGGGTGTCTTTGAATCACTGGCTATCTACTCTGGGTCTGTCACTCCGGTGATCGCCTACCTTCCAGGGAGACCGAGGGGAGGTAGACCCCAAGACCTGTCCCAGGTGAGGCCACTTGGTCGGCACCCGGGGCTGCAGGCGCGGCGCCTTCGTCAGCCCGCCTCTCTTAGTCTTTCCACTCGCGGAAGACCCCGGTCGGGCCACCTTACAACCGACTACTCTGCCTGCCTGACCGGTCTCGGGCTACAAACTGTGTGGAAGAGTAGGTATCTCCCTTAACTGCGACCCCAAATTCGGATTTACAAACGACTACGCAGTCCCGTGTGCCCAACGCCTTCCCTAAACCCAGAGATAAATCTGGGGGAAAATTCCTCGCGGAGCCGAAAGCAACGCCGGCGTCTAAAGCGTTCTCCCCCGAGCTGGAGCGATTCAAAAGACAATTATCTCAAAGGAAAGTTATTGTTTTGGTAATCCCGGGAACAGCTTGCAAGGGGAGATTTGGGTCTTCCTTTAGTAATGGAAAGTTAATACGCAGACTCCTGTAATTATCCTTATCGGAAGCCCCTTGTTTAATCTGCATGTTTAGCTGAGGCTCCACTCGAATGCGCAGAGAGTGGGAGACCCACTTTGCAGGGCCCGGGCTCGGGCTCCGGTCCCTGCGTGCGTGCAGGCAGCCGCGCCGGGTTCCGGCAGAGCTCAGGCGTTTGCTCCTCCCTCGCTGCGGGACCTCCAACTGTAGGCCCCTCAGGGAGTGGGACTGAGGATATCTGCTTCCGGGGTTCTGGCATTGGGAAGGGGGGACTCAGGGCTCCCAGCGATGAGGGCTGGTGGGTTCAAAGCGCTAACCAGGAGTGACTAACCCACGTGATTTGGGGCCAACTTTAGCGAATATGAAAGTTTCACTGATTATTCAAAGAATCAGGCTTTCCTTGAATAATCGTGAAATCGGACAATAAATTGTAAGCCCCGATGAAAATGTGTGCTTTCCAGTAGACAGACCCTATTTTATTCCAATTTACCTCCCTCCACTCCTCCCCAATTTAGGGTGGCTGGATAAAATACTGATACATACTCCTGCAAACAAACAAACAAACAAACAAACAAACAAAAAACCCTCCTTGTTTATCTGAAATTCACATTTCATTGAGTCTACCGTGTTTTGTTGGTTAAACCTAGTACCCTGCCCGTCTCAGCCTCCGGCAGTCCACTCCTGTCTGTGCTTCTCTCCCTTTCCCCAGCTGGTGAGAGTCTGCAACCCCCTACAGTTCAGCCGGTGGGGAGTTGGGGATGGACTTGGTGGTGGATTTGGTTGGAGGTAGAATGACCATGGATTAAATACACGGTTTTCATTCCTTTCCCCTTGGGGATTTTCAGAGAAGGCCTTCCTGCAAGAAGGCCTTCCTGGCACCGGCGGCGGAGGTGGAGGGCTGGCTGGGCACGTATAGGTGGTAGCTACCGGGGTGTGGTTGGCAGTGGGGTCCCTAGGTCTTAATAGGCAGTTGGGTCACATCAAAGAAGCTTCTGGGCAACCGGGAGTGGGCCTCCACCCAGAGTCTGGAAGGAAGGAGAAGACCACGCCAGGATGTAGAACTTGTGACTTTTCGAGGGACAGCCAGAGAGCGGAGTCATTGTCCCTTCCCTTCTTTCCTCCCCTCCATCCTAGAATGGGGTGGGGTGGGGTGGGGTGGGCTGGAGAGAAGAGAGGAGAAGGAGGTGACCGAGGGGACTGCAGCTGGGAGGGCGGTAACCAAGGGGAGGGGAACTGGTGGCGTCCCCATCTCGCGGGTTCCGGAACGGCGACGCGCCGGCGCCCAGCTGATTGGAGCCCTTCAGGCCTCCCGCGCCCGACCGACAGCCCAATCCTATAAAGCTTCCTCTAAGCTGGGCCCTCCGCAAACCGAATCCAGAGAGGCTCGTGCCTTGCTTGCTAAGGAACCATGACCGGCCGGGACGAGCTGTCCGACGGGCGCACTAGCAGCAGGGCGCTGGTGCCTGGCGGTTCCCCCAGGGGCTCGCGCCCCCGGGGCTTCGCCATCACGGACCTGCTGGGCTTGGAGGCCGAGCTGCCTGTGCCCGCCGGCCCGGGACAGGGATCCGGCTGCGAGGGTCCGGCGGCAGCGCCGTGCCTAGGCCCGGGGCTTGACCACTCCAGCCTCGCGCGTGGGGCCCTTCCGCTGGGACTCGGCCTCCTCTGCGGCTTCGGCACGCAGCAGCCGACGGCCGCTCGAGCGCCCTGCCTGCTCCTAGCGGACGTGCCGTTCCTGCCGCCCAGGGGCCCCGAGCCCGCTGCCCCGCAGGCCCCCAGCCGTCAGCCGCCTGCGCTCGGCCGCCAGAAGCGCAGCGAGAGCGTCTCGACGTCCGGTAATCAGGCCCGCGCTTTACGCTCCTACCCCGGTCCCCTAGGCTCTGAACCGCGTAGGGGTCACAGACCATCGCCCCACCGCGCCCCTGGCCCCAGCGTCCCAGATCTAAGCGGGGAGCCCAGAGCGAAGCCCCGTCGCTGGAGGGGCATTCGCGGAACTGCGCCGCTTGCCCCTTGCTGCATCCCAAATCCCTGCCTCTCATCCGGGGTGCTGTTCCGTTAGCGATGTGGGACCGCCACCACCTGGTTCCACCACCTGGAACCTTTTGATGAGACCCTGGGGTCTTGGCACCCCAACAACCATCTCCAGAGGGCCTTTTTTCCCCCAGCGCCAGGCGCCAGTCTCGGCCTCTGGCAGCGGTGTGAATCGGGAAGGCCCGGACCTTTGTTGTTCACCAGCAGCACGGAACAAGGTACCAGGTGGAAACGCGGGCGGAAATGATCAAATGATTGAAGATCCTTGAAGAGCACGGGGCCTCGAGCCCTGGAACTGTCCGCCCATCGGGGTGCTGAAAAGAGAGTCCCGGGTACCTTGCTCCTCTGCCGGCGCGGCGTCCACGCAGTCCCCCGTGCAGGAGAAACAAGCAACCTCGAGGATTCGTTGTAGTTACGCCTAGAGATGTGTTCCTGGCCTACCCATTTCCCCAAAGAAATCCTGGCGGGTCGCGGGGAAAGAGAAGGAAGCAATGAAATTCTATAAAGGTCAAGGGCTAAGAAAGCGAGTGGTTTTGGGTGTGGGAGAGAAAAGAAAGAATTATACAAGAAAGGGTGGACTAGCGAAGGTACGTGGTAGAACCTAGAGCTGAGCATCCAGGCAGCCAAGGCAAAAAGAATACATTGGGTCTCTGATACTAAAAGGAAGCATGTCAGATCAACAGGCAGGCACATTTTCGCTCCACTCTGAAAGGACTTTATTTCATGAGCCTCTATATAAGATAAAATGAAACTCGCTATTAGTGTCACTAAAAATGCAAAAACTGTCTTCATGGGATGGGTTCCTTCTTACAAAACCAAAGGCAGCTAAATCCTACTCTGGCGGCGTTTCTGAAAGTCTGGAGCAGAGCTGTCCAAGAGAAATGCAATGTGATTATTACATGTTTGATGGAAATTTCTCACAGTCACATTAAAAGTGAAATGAATCTAAATACTATATTTTAACCCAACAATGATCACAAATATTATCATTTTACACATAATCGATACAAAAATATTTTACTTTTTAGGAGCACTAAGTCTTCTAACTCCACTGAGTGATTTATGTTTACAGCATGTCTTGATCTGACTGGCCACATTTCTTGTGCTTGATAACCTTATGTGTCTCATGTCTCATAGGTTGGACAGTCCAATACAGAATGTTTTCATCCAAGTCAGGTTTCTGGTGAACTAATTGATGGATGAGTAAAACTAGTATTATTTAGTTATTTTTGCCTTTATTCATTTTAAAAATACTTTGAGGCAATTATGCTTTCTAGCAATGAATCTCACAATAGTTCTAACCTTCTTTTCCATCTGGACTTTTTGATATAATGGGTATAAAAAGATAAAGCACAGTGGAATGGTTCTTGAATTTTCAAGGGCAACTACAAATCATCTGAGCACACTTGTCAAGAATGAGCCTCCTAGACCCCACCTCCAGAGATTCTGATTTGGTGCATCAGGGAAGGGGTGCAGTTCTGACAAGCATTCTGATGTCACAAGCCCTAGACTTCCTTTGGGAAATGTTGGTGTAGAGGTTAAGATGATGAGGCTGGGGGCAGAGGGGTGGGTGTGTTTGGAAGCAGTGTGGGGACAGAAGGTGCAATCAGTAACCAAGTAGTTTTGGCTTCAGATAATCTGGGATTTGAATTCTCAACTTCACCATTTACTAACTGTATGATCTTGGGCAAATTACTTAACCATTCTGTGCCTCAGTTTCCTCATCTGTAAAAATAGGATGATAATGATAGCAGTCATTTTGGTGTTTTATTATTATATTAAGAATACTTGAGATAATGTATGGACAGTGTTAAGCACAGAACCTGGGATCTAGTAGGCACTAAAAATGCTAGTTCATATTGTTAACTACTCAAATACCCAAGAGGTTCATAACTTTAATCCTCACATTAAAATCCAGGAAATAGAGGGCAGAATATGATCACCTTTAAAGTCCTCTTCTTCTTTTTGTGCCAGCAGATGAGGACAGCCCGTATGAAGACAGGAATGACCTAAAGGCATCCCCCACCCTGGGCAAGAGGAAGAAGCGGCGGCACAGGTACAGGGCCAGGCAGTCCCCTCTGCCTGCCTTTCCTCGGGACACAGCCCAAGGTGTATGGTACCTGCATCTGAGAGTTTATGACCCTGCGTGATGGCAGGCCCAGTGGTCTCCTGGTTGGCAGTAGGAAGGGCACAGAAGCCATTTGGGAAGATAATTCTGCTGTTCCTAGGAGGCTGGGAAAATGCTACAATCTTGCTAGCATTTTTTTTTTTTTTGGCAGTATTTTAAAGACAATTTTGTGGGTCTGTCAAATGGATTTTGTCAGAATGAGCTGATGGAATTCATTAAGAAAGAGCTAAAGAACTGTTTTTGTTTGAATGAAATTTCTGGACTTTGCATCAGCTAATCATTCAGAGGTGGGGTGTTCCATTATCATGAGGTGGCTTCTAGGGTGTGAACAGCAGGGGAAGGAGGCACGGTGGTCCTTAAGGCCAGGGAGGCTGCTGTCCCCAGGGGACACGTGCCCACGTGTGTGTTTTGGGGTCCTTGCAGGACAGTTTTCACTGCTCACCAGCTGGAAGAGCTGGAGAAGGCGTTCAGCGAGGCCCACTACCCTGATGTGTATGCCCGAGAAATGCTGGCTGTGAAAACTGAGCTCCCTGAAGACCGGATACAGGTGTCTGGGGTCCCTTTTCTCATTTCCAAAGACACCACAGAGAACGTGTCATTCCCACATTCAGTGAGCCAATCAGCAGTCCCTTCTCTACAGCCAACACTCTCCCTTTGCACAGAAACTCCCTTAGCTGAAGGCACCACAAGAGCATGTCCCTGTGACCCTCATGCCTTTTTTCATTTTATTATTATTTAGTATCAAATCATTCTTTAAAATCACACGACAGTGTGTGCTGCAACTAGAAACTATAAAAGATATGTCAATGAAAAAAAAAATACTGCCTCTCCATCTCAAACCCTGAAAGAAATCAACATAAATGCCTGAGAAGACCTTTCTCCACTTTGTGGAGTATATTATCTGCCCCTGAATATGTATGTGCATACACACATCTACCTGCATATGTACACACGCTGACATGCATACACAGAATTTTGCTCTTGGTTTTGTCAGAAGATATGTCACTAACTGTTTTTTAACAGCTACACCGGAGTTCATAATAGTCTCTTATTAACATAATGTTTTTAATGAGAAATATCACCAGCATCCCAAGAGTCTAAGCTTGGAAGGAGCCATTGCCCCAGTGAACTCTTTCCAATCAATGAGAAAAAGCAGGAAACACTGTAGTTGACCTCGTCACACAATGTGGGAAAAGGGAGTTTGATTATTTAGTTTTTTTCATTCCTGACTCTATGGAAACTTCAGTGGACTTGGTCACGCGTGTCCCTACCGCGCTGAATGCCCGTGAGTCCAGACCGCACATGGGCGCCCCTGGGGGCTCCTGGGCGCGCTCCCTGGGGGCGGCTGGTTGGCCCTCGGGAGCTATTTCCTTCAGAAATAGCATGGGATCATGCTCGGGAGAGAAGCTCCGAGCCCAGGGACGCCGCCTCCGCTCCTCCAGGCGCCTCTCTTCACTGTCTCTTCTGTGTGCTCTCTGCTTCTCCTGCCTCCAATCAGGTCTGGTTTCAAAACCGGAGGGCCAAGTGGCGCAAGCGGGAGAAGCGCTGGGGCGGCAGCAGCGTGATGGCCGAGTACGGGCTGTACGGGGCCATGGTGCGCCACTGCATCCCGCTGCCCGACTCCGTGCTCAACTCCGCCGAGGGTGGCCTGCTGGGCTCCTGCGCGCCCTGGCTCCTGGGTAAGGAAGGGTCCCCGGGAGCGCACTGCTCGAGGTGTTGTAGGAGGTGGGGGAATCCCCGGGGGTCCCCACCGAGGCAGCCATTTCCAAAGCAAAGCAAAGTCAGTTTACTGAGATGCAGGTCCGGAACCGTTCTTATTATTTTTAATTAATAACAAAGCTTGCAGCATCTGAATGGTTGCCTCATTTTTCACAGAGATTGTCTAGGCTGTGTGGAAGTCTCACCGGGCTATGCATGCTAAATAATTTGGGATTTAAGGGTGAAATGACATCATTGCATTATGTGAAATATGTTTCCCAAGTGTTGAATGCTGTTAGAATTTTTAGAAACCGTACAATTTAGGGCACTTGGTAATAGGAAACAGGGCGGTGCTGAGCAGCGACCCCTAGAGACAGTGAACCCCTCCATCTGAGTCAGGAGAGCTGGCCCCGGGCTTGGTTCTGTCATGAACAAGCTGCCGAGTGGCTTTTCTGTCCCTTGGATTTTTGGTGCTTCAACAGTCTCCGCTGCTGAGGTCCAAACTTCGCTGTTGGGCACTCTCAGGATGCTCCACCCTTGTTGCCCTGTTTGCTGTTGCCAGAAACCAGCAGGCAGGGATCGCAGATTGTGGGAATGAGTCACAGATGAGTACCTCCGGGCATGGGGGGACTAGTTAGGAGGATCATGGTGGCATTTTAGGTTTAGATGGAGGAAGTTTTTTGCTCACCGAACAGTTTTTGAACAGCTACCAAGCTGCCCTATGCTGGGCACTGGAGGTTCTAATCATAGATATGTCTCCACTTTGCTCTCAAGGACTGAAACAATAGAGGGAGCATTGTGGGCAGTGACCCAAGCCGGCTCATCTGAAATTACACAAGCAGGTGGGGAGGTGGCTTACTGGCATCCACCAGACCGCAGCCTTGGGGAAAGTGGGCCCAATGCCAATCACTGTCATCCAAAACACCTTTGCTGGATGTGACCCGGGGTCAGACACCTGCTTTAAACCCCTAAGGTGGGAGTTACCTACCTGCCTTTCCTGTAGGCCCCAGAGATAGGCACTGACAAGGACAATTCTAGTGGGATTTAGAGAACAATAAGAAGGACATTTACTTCATTGCTGAATTTAAATTTATATTTTTATTTTTTCCTTTTTTTTTTTTTTGCAAGGGATGCATAAAAAATCCATGGGGATGATAAGGAAGCCAGGAAGTGAAGATAAGTTGGCAGGACTCTGGGGCTCTGACCACTTCAAAGAAGGTTCTAGCCAGAGTGAGTCAGGACCACAGAGAGGCTCGGATAAAGTGAGCCCTGAGCATGGCTTGGAAGATGTGGCTATCGACCTCTCCAGCTCTGCCCGGCAGGAGACCAAGAAAGTGCACCCTGGGGCTGGTGCTCAAGGAGGCTCCAACTCCATGGCACTGGAGGGGCCCCAGCCAGGGAAAGTGGGAGCCATATGAGACCCACAAGTCCCACCGTCAAAGGCTGAAAATGTGCATATTCCTCACTGGCATTTTCCAAAAGATAAAAATGGTCCAAGATATATACTCTCAGTTTGATTTTCTTCTGACACTGTCAAGATAAAATGCAATGCCACTTGCTTTAAGAGGACAGATGAGTGACCTAGGGAAAATTCTATTTCATTCTAGAATGGAAACGGTTCCTTAATGGCACTTTAACCAGTTAATTTGGTGCAAAACTTTTGATTCTCTTTTGTAGCTTGAGCAGGGAGGACCCGAAGTTCAAAAATGATTTCACTGCTGGGCATCATTTGAGATGTGTGGTTCAATGTGCTATACAGATGAACAGGTTAGGTCTGATGTCCTCATTCTCAATTAGGAAATATAAAATTCTTTAATCTCCAGAAGAATCTGATATCATTATAGTGAAGACTCCATACAGACACATGAATTAATTATATTGTCTTTACCTTGAACTTGGCCTTGGATATTTCAATTTTCTTGTTACAGGGTAATTTATGTTTTCCTGAGTGTCACTTGATAGGCTATTTATATTGGAACTCAAAGAAAGCCATACTCTGGGCGTTTCTGCATTTCCTTCAAAAATAGCGTGGGATCACATTTAAACAATTGTTGGATAGCTGGAAACAGTGTTTTTAGGTCAGACCAGGCTTTTGGTCTTTTACAATTTTTGATTGAAAGCACTTTAGTGACTTGGATTTTGTAAATGTTTCCTTTCCTGCGTTTCCTTTGCCATTTCTTTATTATTTAAAAAATAAACATTTTGTGGTGTGTTTGCTTCTCAAGGCACTCCCTCTATTACACACATGCACATCTCCACTATCTCTGATCCCAGCCAAACTCTCCCTTCACCCCTTCTCAATCTGGGGACACGTGACACATTTTATTTATTCTTCAGGCTGCAGCTCTTATCATGTGTTGCTTTGTCAACTCCTCTGGGGCAGCAGCTGTGTCTGACTCACTCTTTGGAGTTCAGAGTCCAGAGAGATACCTTCTAGTTGATGGGAAAATGTGGTGCTTCGTGAAGAAGGAAGGGCAGTGCAAGGAAAGTGTGGAGCTGCTCATTGTGAGGGCTTTCTCTGGGAACTGGCACAGTGATCTGTCAGGCCAGGCTTGGTGGTCCCATCTCTGCAGGTAAGAAAACAGAAGCTCTCTCCCTTTGGCCAATTTTTCTCATTCTATGCTAGTTCCATACTGTTGGGAAAATTAAACATCACCAATTCCTTTCTGTAGCAACAGAAAATGATGAGCCCTGTGTTCTTGTATTAATTCTGGCTACTAGAGATCATAACTGAGGCCTGAGACTGCATCCATAATGAGCAGTTGGCATGAACTCTGGAAGTTCTTCTGTCTTTCCTGTTTAGAGACAGCAGCCCTGGCTCCAGGCTCTGGGGCCACACAGGTTCTGCCTCCCAGAAGGTTCTCAACACGTTTCCTCATGTTTACTCCTTGGTTGTTGCTTCCATCCCTCTTCCTTAGCTTATCCAGGATTGAGTTTGGGAGACGGAACCAGTAAGCTGTGCAACTTATATACATCACACTTAGACAATACGGGCAGCCACTAAAATTGTAACAGTAAGCCCTATTTATTAATGTGAAATGATGCTGACAAAATATTGCTGAGTAAAAAAATCCCTAAATAAAAGAACAAAGATAGAAATAAACAAATATGTAAGGCAGAATGAAAATGAAATAAATAACCTTGACAACTGGTTCTGCATACAAAATATACAAGTAGTGGACAAATCTCTGTGTAATGTTACAAAGGAAAAGGAGAAAATAGGAAGTGGCACAAGACAAAGGGGCTAGAAGCACTAAAGTAAAAATGGAAGGATGCTTTCTTAACATAAGGAACTCTCTTCAATATGGCAGACTAATATTTTATAATGTATACATACTTACACGTGTGTATATATACACATATAATGTAAGAGCATAGTCTTTGAGGAGACTTTGCCACCTCTAGCCATGTGACCTTGGATGGGTTACACTACCTTTCTGATCTGTCGGTTTTTCAACTGTAAAATGGGGATAACAGCAGAACACTCGTTTTTCTGAAGATTAAATGAGATGACATGAGTAATGTACTTGGCTCAGTTTCTGGTGTAACTGAGGAAGGAACAAATTAAATATTTAACTATTATTACTGTAATTATTGGCATTTCTATTAATGTCAAAATTCAAGTGAGGAAGTTTGTTATCATTATCATTATTTGACAATATGGGACCAACAAAAGAAATCATGGAATATTAGCTTGTTGGAATGGTCTGCAACAACTCAAGAAGAACTCTAGGAACACAGCAAAATGTCACCCTCAGAGCAGGGCCCGGTGTGTCACTGGGCTGCTCTCTCTCTCTGGCTGTGCAAGGACCAGGAGCTCAACTGGCCACGCCCCACAGAGGACCACCACTGTCCTGTGTGACTAGAGTCTGGGGATAAGGACTTTGAGCTGCTCAGGAACATCATCAGGAATCCAGGACTCAAGCTTGTCCCCGCAAGGTCACTGGAGGCTCCTGAAGTCCAGACATCACAGTGGAGACCACTTACGGCCACACTTCATCAAGGAGTAAACCCCCACCGGCAAGCAGAGCCCCCTCTCACTCCTCAGTGGTCAGCACTGCATGTCACGCTGGGGCCTAAGCCAGTCGTCACCAGCCAGGTGGGCAGAATTCCTTGTTTGGTTTAGTCCAATCAAAATTCACCTCTGGGCCTGGGTTGTGGCCAGCCCCTGCTCTTTTGCCCGTTAACTAATGTAATTTGGCCCCTTTCAACAGACAAGAAGGAAAGGGGTATGACTGCTGACCAACCAACCAACCAATAGGTCATCCCTATACAGGAGATAAAGTAGTGTGTGTGTGTAATATTAAGAGAGAAAACAAGAAACGTGTGCAGAAAGATGAAAAAATAGACGAAAATTCTTTAAAATATTCATAAAATTTTTCAGATCAAGGACAAATGGATACTTTGAATTTTTAAATATGTTCTAAGTTTTGTAAAATTCGTATGTAAAAATAAAATAATTTTTATTATTAACATTATTAAAATATTAACACCACTTTCTCAATATAGGGTTAAATTCACATGAGACAAAAATGCTTTTAAAAATATCGTGTGAAAGTTTTTCAGGATAAAGAGTTCACATCTTGCCAGTGACTCCTGCGTGGTTCTCACAGTGCCCATCTGAGGATGAAGAGACCAGCAGGATTTTACACGTGGTCCTGTCAGCCCTCACTCAAATCCCGCAGCACGTCAGATTGGAATCTGGCCACAGACTGACAGTAGGACTGAATTGTTTCCAGTTTTCAAAACCGTTTGCCAGCTGAAATGCGGCTGTTAAAATCTAAAAGGAGATTTCAAAAAATTACAATTTTAGTAAGGCGAATTTGAAAACATTCCTAATAGGAACCAGTGTTAACACTCCTGTCTCTGTAGCAGCAGGAGGCAGCAGCTCAGGACTTGAGGACATTCATGAATTAAGGTGATATTTTCAGAAATGACAGAAGAACAAGATATAACAAATAATGCTTTTTCCTTAGGTTTAATCATATAAAAACAATATATGAAAACACAAATTGTTTTCTGTGGTCAATGAATCATGTTTAAATTCATTATCCTTTTGCATTCTCAGAGGATGAGACATTGGGCTGCAGAGAAGTGAAATGAACCTGCTAAGCCGATTGTCAAATGGATGAGAAACTCAGAGCCAAGGATCGGGAAAACACCCTTAAAGAACGAGGTGATGGCTGAGTCTGTCCCAGGCCAGTGCTTTGATAAGGCTGTGATCACCACAGTGGGATAGTATTGGCTCAGGGGGAAGAATGGACCCATGCAGCAGGAAAAGGAGCAGGCAGCACACACAGTGTGGACACAAAGCTGGTGTGGCTGACACCTGGGGAGGGCTGGCTTTTTGGTAAGTTACTGGGACAACTGTTTGTCCATATGGGAAAACATACAATTGGACCTGTACTTCACACCTTACAGGAAAACACTTCCAAGTGGATTAAAGACATGGTGTATATGTTTGGTGTGTGAAAGGCAAAACTATAAAACTTTCAGATGTTTTGATTTAGAAGATCCTTCAATTCTCCCCAAACTGTGGCTTAAAACAATCATTTTAAGCTCACAACTGTGTGCATCTATTTCAGCTAGGTTCGCCAAGCCACAGTCTCTTGTTCTCTCTCAGCCCCACCTTCCCCTCTCTTTCTACCGACATATATACAAGAGTTGTTGAGAAATGCTCTCCATTTTCCAGTGCAAACTTCTGCTCCTGGAGACTCCTATTCACTGGACTTTGCAGGAGACACACAGGCTCCCCAAACCCTGCTGTGGTGCCTGATGACCTTCAGCTGAACCCTGTAATGCTGCTAAAGTCTGCCCCTCTGGAGAAGTGCTCAGGTAGCATTGTTCTGCCTCAGGAAGCATGCCAATTTTCCTGTGTCATCCTTGATGATCACTGCTACCAGACTTGCCCCCTGCAGGGCACCCTGATGTGCAAGGAATTCAACAGCCTGGGAGTTGAAAGCGTTGGTCTTCCAAGTTCAGCGTGTGCTTTCCCGTATCTGTTACCAGCTGATGAGAATAAACCTGCAGTCATGACAGCTAGGTCCAAGTGACAGGTGCAGAAAACTGCTCTTACAGAAATGCCCCTCCTTATTTAAGAGGCTTTGTCTATCACTCGGAACTGCTTCTACGCAAGATTATCTGTTGAAAGGGAAATGTCATACCAGGGCATTGTTCTGACTTTTCTGGACTTCCTCAACCCAAAATGCCTTGAAGAAAAAAAAAAAAGACACTGAGGGTTAGGGGAGGGTCTTACTCTGTCTCCAGGCTGGAGTGCAGTGGCACGATCATAGCTCACTGCAACCTCTACCTCCTGGGCTCAAGTGATCCTCCCACCTCAGCCTCCCGTGTTGCTAGGATTACAGCGTGAACCACTGCCCCAGCTACTTCCAACTCTTAAGAGTTCACCCCAGGCTGGCTGCCCTTTTCCCCTCTTTCCATCATGAGTGACACACAGGCATCCCCTTCGGCCAGCGTGGCTGACCTGCGTCTGCCTGGGCGCTCAGCTAGGCACCCATGTGAGTTCACAGCCTGGAATTTTAAGCGGAGGAGTTTCTGTGCTTTTCTGCCCTGGTCCCTCTTACTGACCCTCTAAGTCACCAGCCGTGGTCGTCTCCTCTTTGACCCCTGATCTCAACCCGGGTTTTGAAATGTGTTTGTTCACGTAATTGTCTGTTACCCACCCTTCCTGTCATTGCAGAATCCGTTGTCTCATACTGACATTTTAGGACTTTTTTTCACTTTCTTCTGTTGAAGATCACCTACTAAAAAGGAGTACTTCCTCCTTTTCATTCTTTCTTTATAAGAATTACATTTTAACAGATAAATTAAAATTGTATATATTTATGGTGTAAGACGTAATGTTTTGGAATGTGTATACATTGTGGAAGGACTAAATCCAGGTAATTAACATAGCATTACCTCACATAATTTTTTTGTGTGTGTGGTGTGAACACTTAAAATCTACCCCTTCAGTGATTTCGAGTATGTAACACATTGTTAGTAACTATAGTCACCGTGTATACAGAACTTAAACTCACTCCTCCTGCAGAACTGAAATTTTTTGTCCTTCGACCAGCCAGGTTGCCCCTTTTCTATTTCCCTCTTTAACACAGTCAATTTTGTGCAGTAACTAAACTGGGAAGTGGAGGAGATTCTGGGATCTCCTTTACTGTCCCATTAGGGAGCCCTTGGAGGGCCAGGGATTCCATAACAATGACCAAGGTGAAGCCAAATATTGCACAGGAGTGTGTATGTGCAGGGGGTTGGGGGCGGCATTCCTTTTCCCAAGTAATGCAATGAGTCTTGCAAGAAATTCCTGCATGGTACACTTCTCTGCCCCGGATCACATCTCCTCAAATATCTCTTACTCCGGTCTTGCTTCCTGCTGTTAAATTCAGTTTAGTCTAAAGCTGCCTCCTTACATATTTAAGTCTGGCCAATAGGTTTCTTTGTACATAGTAAACTATAACCTATCTGGATGTGTAAACAGGCTGTAACCTACTCTCGTGCCAATCACTGAGATTTTGGCCAATCACAGTGGGCCAACTGTTTAAACCATGTTCAAATAAGACATCAAGCTGTAACCAGTCCAACTGTTTCTGTACCTCACTTCCATTTTCTGTGTGTGACTTTCCTTTTTCTGTTCGTGAATCTTCTTTGGCCATGTGGCAGCACTGGTGTCTCTCTGAACCTATTCCCGTTCAGGGCTGCCCAATTCACAAATCATCCTTTACTCAGTTAAACTCTGTTACATTTAGTTTGCCTAAGATTTTTCTTTTAACACTGCCCTGGGGCTTCTCTGACTTTGAGATGTGGACATCTTAGGTACCCCTGCTTGGTACTTCCACCTGTGGACCCTGAAGGCCTTCCTAGAAGAAGTCCATAGCACACACAAGGCAGCCCGTGACCAGTCAGGGGAGTTCTTGTGATAAATTCTCCTCTTTTGCCTCTGTGATGGAGACCTCTGAAATCATTCTACGCAGCAACATGAAGATCTGGGTGACACCCAGCCCTGGTTGCCCTTGGCGTGACAGACTGGAGAAGGAACACTTGCTGGACATTCTGCCCATCCCCTCTCCCACTCCTCAGTCCTGCATCCTCTCCCAAATCAAGGCACCTGCCCACAGGCCCACAAAACTGGGAGCAGGAGTGGGACAGGTTGCCACGGCCAACAACCCCAGCCATGACTGAATGCATCACAGAATCTGAAAGAACTATTATGACCTAAAGTTCCATCTGTACACACAAACTGGTTTTACCGAGTTCAGTTTTGTAAACAAAGTTTGAATCCAGTGAAGTGGTCACTTTTGTGGATTTAGATGATATACAGTCCCTGCCCCAATTAAAAAAATGATTTTGGGATTTCTTATACATGGCCTGAAAATACTATGAGGGTCAATTTTTCAGTTTCCCCTTGTATTTCCATCAATTTTTGCTCATATTTTTGGAGTTGTATTATTAGGTGTCTGTAAGTTAAGAACTTCTAGATCTTCCTGGTGAACATTTATCATACAAAGTTTCCCCTTTTAACTTTTTTTTTGCATTTTGTCTTACTGTGCATTTTGTCTGATATTTAATTCATATTTATTTGGTAAATATTTTCTATACTTTTACTATCAACATTTCTAAATATGTTTTAGGTTTAGGTTTGTCTCTTGAGGAGTATGTAGTTGAGATTTTGAAAATCCGTTCCAAAAATCTTTTCTTTAACTAGAGAATTTACTCCATTTATATCAATTATAATTGTTGACATTTAAATTTTATTTTAACAAATTTATTTTTTGTATTTGCAAATGTTTTTTACCCTTTTAAGTCTATTTCTCCTTTTTTCATTTTTTAAACTGCTCAGTTTTCTTACCCCTTGTCTCCCTCTACTAGATTACAAGGTATATATTCTGCTTCTATTTGTGGTTAATCTAGAAAATTTGACATGCATATTGATGTAAATGTAAAACTGTCCTGAACATTTGAGGAATTATAGGATGCTACTTTTGATTTCTTAATTACTTTCTACACTCTTGTTCGGGACTTTTCTTTTACCTTGTTTTTTTCTTAACCCCATGATGCAGGCGTTATTGCTATAATTTCATATCACTAATGTTTCTTTAGATTTACCCACAAGTGTAACAATTTCCTTGCTCACTGTCCTTCCATTGCAGGCACACCACCCTTATTATCCTCATTTGGGGGATAATTTTTCTTCTTCTGGAAATAATCCTGAAGTAATAGGGTGAAAAGCCTATTAGTTTTTGTTTGTCTGAAAATGTATTTTGTGCTTGTTCTTGAAAGATGATTTCGCTATTCAAAGTTGACAATTATTTTCCTGAAATACCTTAAAGATTTTACTCAGCTGTCAGCTGTCAGTCTAAACACCATTCCTGTGTAGGTAATCTGTCTTCACTCTCTGACTTTTTAAAGACTTGCTGCTTATCTTTGGTTTGTGACAGTTTTGCAATCATGTGTTGAGGTGCTGCTTTCATTTTTATTTAGGTCAATTGGAATTTGTGTATTTTGGTTTGTGACAGTTTCGCAATCATGTGTTGAGGTGCTGCTTTCATTTTTATTTAGGTCAATTGGAATTTGTGTACTTCCTGAGTCCGAGTATTGTCTTTCATTAATTCTAGAAGTGTTGCAGCTTTTAATTCATTGAATATTTCCTCTCCCCATTCTCTCCTTCTAAAACTCCAAATGTTTTTATCTTTGTGTGTGCGCATATGTGCATCTGTGTGTGGTGTGTGTGCGTGTGCTGTGTGCGTGCGTGTGTGGGTATATGTGTGGTGTGTGCATGTGTTTGGTGTGTGTGTGGTGTGGTGTGTGTGCACACGTGTGTGTGGTGTGCACGTGGGCATGTGTAATGTGTGTGACTGCATGCCTGTATGTGCACATTTGCTCACAAGTGTGTGTGTGGTGTATGTGAGCACGTGTGTGTGTGAGCATGCCCATGTGTGGTGTGTGTTTGGTGTGTGCGTGCGTGTTGTGTGTGCACGTGCGTATGTGTGGTGGTGTGTGCACGTGTGTGTGGGTGTGTGCCTGTGTGTGGTTTGTGTGCATATGGTGTAGTTGTGTGGGAGTGTGTGGTGTGTGCATGTTTGTGTGTTGTGTGTGCGGGCGCATGTGTGGTATGTGTGTGTGCATGAGTGGTGTGTGTGAAGTGTGTGTGTGGTATGTGTAATCTGTGTGTGGTGTTTGTGCATGTGTGTATTAGTGGTGTGTGCAGGTGCGTGTGGTATTTGTGACCACGTGTGTGTGTTGTGTTGTGTGTGTGTGCTGTGTGTATGTGGCATGTGGGGTGTGTGTGTGTTGTGTGTCTGTGTGTGCATGTATGTGGTGTGTGTGTCTGCAAGTGTGTGGTGTGTGTTAGTGATGTGTGCGTATGTGTGGTGTGTGCACGTGTGTGGTGTGTGTGTGCGAGTGTGTGCGGTGTGGTTGTGTAGGTTTGTGTCTGGTGTGTGTGCATGCTGTGTGGTTGTGTGTGGTGCGTGCGTGATGTGTGCGTGTGTGTGGTGTGTGCGTGTGTGTGATGTGTGTGTGGTGTGGTGCCTGTGTGTGATGTGTGCGTGTGTATGACGTGTGTAGTGTGTGTGTGGTGTGGGGGAGTGTGAGGGTGTTTCTGGTGTGTATGGTGTGGTATGTGGTGTGTGCAAGTGGTGTCTATGCATGTAGTGTGTGTGGTGTGTGCATGTGTGTGGCTGTGTGGTGTGTGTGCGTGCATGTGTGTGTGTGTCTGTGTGGTGTGTGCATGTGTGGTGTGTGCAGTGTCTTTGTGTGTGCGCACGTGTGTGTGTTGTGTGTGGTGTGTGTGTGTGTGTGTGTGGTGTATTTGGTGTGTGCGTGTGTGTGGTGTGTGGTGGGTGTCTGTGTGTGGTGTGTGCGTGTGTGTGTGGTGTGCATGTGTGTGGTGTGTCTGTGTGTGGTGTATGTGTGGTGTGTGCGTGTGTCTGGTGTATATGTGGTGTGTGCGTGTGTCTGGTGTATGTATGGTGTGTCTGTGTGTGTGGTGTGTGTGTTTGGTGTGTGCGTGGTGTGTGTGTGGTGTGTCCGTGTGTGTGTGGTGTGTGTGTATGTGTGTCTATCCCATGCCCCATGTCTTGCATCCTCTTTTCTAAATTTTCTTTCTTTTTTACTCTATGCTACAATTTCTATTTAATGGGAAAATTTAATTAATTCAGTTATTACTGATATGATGTATGGACATATCTCTTGATCTTACTTTATATTTCCCAACTTGCCATCCTTGCTTGTTCCTTCCCCACTCCACCCTTTCCTATTTTGTTTCTTTAAAATTGACCAATTTTTGTTCCATTTCTTTCACCAATGGTTTGGAAATCACATACTCCTTTTAGTTGTCTAAGAATTATACATAAAATTTAAACATACCAAATAAACATATGTTTCTACCACTATGTAGAGTTAGCCTGCATTTATATCATTCCTCCACCCAGACAAAAACTTTTGCATGGCTTTACTTTACTTCTACTTCTCCCTGGTCCCCAGCCAAAAATCCTGACGGTTTTCCCAGAGCACCTTCGCAGTGTTCCCAGCTGCCCTCTCAAGCCACTTCCCAGGTCTGGCTGCCATTGTCAGAAGCTACTGGAGGGGAAATCTACCAAAACGTCAATGCCTGTTTGCACAGTAAGTCCAGGATAAAGTTAATTCTAGTTAAACTAATATGAAAAGAAAACCACAAAGGGTGTTCCTGACTATATCCGTCAGTTATAGTTTCTGCCTTGAATTCCAACCTATTTGCCTGCTACCTGCCAGGGGTTCCTCCTCAGAATTTCTCTTCCACCAAGGGATTTGCGTTTTCCCAATTTATTAGACCTTTAAAGGAATCTATCTATCTATCTATCTATCTATCTATCTATCTATCTATCTATGTATCTATCTATCTATACACTTCCCGTATCCCGTCCTCCGTCTTGATGGAGTACGTATCTTTGCCCGGGCGAAGAGATTTCTCATGTCCTCATCCGGAATTCCCCTAGTTCAGGACTATCACACTGCCCTGGCCATAGTCAATCTGTGTTGATTAATTTACTAAGGAGACAAAGGCTATTCTGAGAGGGCTTATTATTAGGGAAATGCTCCTGGGCTTCCTTTGATGGCGATACGATCTTAAGGAATGCGTGAGTTCTTCTGGTTGGCTTGTCCTGTGGAAGACTTGACAGATTGCTTAGACAGGCTGGAAAGCAGCATCAGTTACAGCGCCAGGGGGCAGTGTTGGCCAGCTTTACAATTTCTCAACATTCAGCCGGGTGAGAAATTTGACTAATGCTATTAGTTCCTCATCAATAGATACACATCCTCTTGGGTCCCCGCTGGTGTTTTCAGGGCTGGGGCCATGTTTAATCTCTCTTTGGGACCCACAGAAACTGGTCTCTGAGAAAGCCATGTCCAGCCCTAGCGATCAGCACCTTTGCAGACAAATTCCTCCCCTGCCTGTGATCTCTGCTCAAAGCTGTGACTGCATCATAAACCTTCACCCTTGAGTTTGAGCTGAGAGGCTGGGAAGTCCAAGAAGTTCCTGAGGGCGTAGGCAGAGATGCGATGGCAGTTTTAGTGGCCTTTGCCTTCTCAGGACAGAGCA